TTAGTTTATTCCTTGCTTACACAAACGTTAAGTGTTTCCCTAAGTCTGGTCTTAAGACCGTCGGTTGGGTCTTTTGCTTAAATTTCGTGTGTTTCCTAATCATTTAAATAGATCATCTCTATACCTATTATATTCTCAACTTCATCTGGCAGCTTGCCTGTCACATTAATTAATTTACCCAGTATCTCCATAGGATGATTCTCCAAAATTGAGACTTACTTCCAAGAGGAACATCCAAGATAATTCCCTTTCTAGACAGAATACAACATTCATCACTCTACTTTAATGCAATCAGAAATATATACAATTTTCCACCAGGTAATCTGTATTGATCTTCAGAATGAGCCAATATCTTCAATGGTAGTACAATGGCCATAAGATCCCTGCTAAATTGTGATAATGAGACCCCTATACTTATCAGATGTTAAAGCGTCTTACTCTAATATATCATTTTATAATTCATATTTATTTTCTTTTATTTACATACTTCATTCTGCTATACCTAGCTTTGTTTCGTTTTCACTTATTTTTTAAAGTTTCTTATGAATTTCTGCGACACTCATTCTCTATTACATTATTTCTTTTTTTTTCAGTTTAACTCTGCTTATTTATATTTTGCCGGTGTTATTTCTTAACTCCTCCCTGTAGCCTTCTATCAAAGCAGTCTGAACTGACTCGCCTTTCAGAGGAGTGTGCCACGCTACGTGCCCGTGATTCTAACTTGTCGGCATTCACTCAGCGTCTTTCTGAACAAGCGGCCAGCCTTCAGACTACTCAGATGATGCTTTCTACTCAGCTCGACGAGGCTCAAAATGATGCAGATAGTGCACGCCAGGCTGCCCGTCAAGCCGAAGAAGCGCTGGTGGCTGCCCAGGCTGCCAGGCGACAAAGTGATGAACAGATTACGGACCTGAATAATAGGGTAGGTCACATATAGGATTTACTTAAAGGCATCCTAATCTCCATCGCAATCAACCAATTTCAACATTTTCTAATGGGATGATTTGGATATTCTTTGATCATCTGATATTTCATTATTTATTACTAATATGCTCATAATTAACAAAAGTTTGTCGATTGTTGGTTTGAACTCGCTTTCACAACTTGGTTGGGGCAACTGGGAGACTTTGTGGAATGTACCTAGTCCTGTATCTTGCCATAGTATTCATGATGACTTCCAGCATCCGACCGTTGAATTGGTACATTCAAGCATACTTAAGTTCACTTCCATTTAGACAGAAATCTTTGTTGAAGAGGTTCCCAGATCAATCTCACCTTAAAACGACTGCGGATTTCTTCTGGCCATCTGCCGAGTGGAATTCTTGCCGATGGTGTCATAGAGGCAATCTCCTGCGATTCTGTTGAAAACGTGCTGAGCTTTTGTATCTCATTTGATCAACATCATTAGAGCAGGGTATCATTTTTACATCCATAGACAAGCTTACGTGCCAAGAAATCTCTTCATTTTAACCAATTATGTATCCAACATTACACAATCGAAGTAGTGGTTGGAACGTGAAAAAAGGAGAAATGTTATTGATGATGATAATGACCAATGACATCTGTTATCTAATACAGTGAATAATTCATACTAATTTTGCCAAAGAATCAAAGGCGCATGGTTGGAAGGAAACGAACTTTTTCATCTTTACTATGAAATAGCTAAATAACTCATGGGATGCATCATTAGAATCGCAAAGGGAGTGTGATTTCACCGAGCCGCTCTTAGTTTCTTGGTTCATTTTAATTAGTGCGTTCTTTCATAAACTATCCTTTCTCGCTTGGTGTTGTGTCAAGACAGGACAGACGAAAGCTCAGCACAGGGTGATCGGGCTCGCAGGACGGTGAGTCGAAGACTTCTTCGTACAATTCAACATTCTTTACCCCTCTGCAATCCTCCTTCGGTTCCAAATAACACCACTTCATGAATTCCTTCCAGTCAAAGTTTCCTTCTAAATGGAAAATTGTGTCACTGTAGACACACATATATGTTTCTAGCTTCACATATGACTTGAACTAACAAAATCAGTTTATGCCTTTTTAAAGAGTACAGTTTTTGGTTGTATATATCTATATATTCGCAATATTTTGGGATAAGCCTGTGCGTTTTCTTGACTTGTTTGCCTAAATATATTTGAAGGAATAATATTTTGCTCTGCTGATGTCAGTAAAATGGTGGACTAAAGCTTAGTGCCTTATTAATCGAAATCGAGGGAGATTGCCTCGAAAATATCGCCAGCAAGAGTATTCCAGTTAAGTCAATCAACACTTGGAAAATGAAGTTCCGACGTCGTGATCTTAACAATAATAAATAAGGAGATTAATCTTAATCCAACCTTTCTTCTCATAACTAGGGCTTGACTGAGCTCGTCATGTTGGCCCACTATTTTTCCTTTAACCTGCCTTTATTCAGGTATTTTTTACTATTTTTGCTTATCCTTATGTTACACATTGGTTTCTATCTATCGACCCTGCTGACATTTATTATTTTTAGTTATATGTTGGCTTTAGAGACTACCAGTGGATCATATTTATGAGATATATTCATCTTGTGATAAAGAGACTGGTAGTTAAATTTTACCACAATGATATGAGTCGACCTAGTGCTTCCATTCAATTTCACATAGCCCTCCTCCCAAGAGGTATTCTCATCCATGCAGGAGTGAACTGCAGTTTCAACCTCGCCTAAACTGGTCTCATAACCACCTCCAGCGGTACTCGAACCATGACAATGCAGCGTATAATCGCGACACGTTACCAACTGCACCACATTGCCACGAGCTCTCTTAGGTCAGAGGGCAAATGTGAACTTTATGAAAGGCCAGGCACTTTCCCATATCACATTCTGTTGTGGGATTGCCGATGAAGCAAAGTAGTATTTGATATAGCAA